ACTCCTCATTGAGATACTGGAAAGTGGGCCAACCCGTTTTTGTTAAACCTGGTTCAAACAAATGTGCTGCTTTCTTAAAGAGTGAATCTGGTAGATGGGGAGCACAGCCATGTGGTGAAGTGCATCCATTCATCTGTAACTGTAAGCAAACTTCTTCATTTAGATTCTTCCTACTCTGTTTTGGTAAAAGCCTTTGATCACAGCTCATAATCTAAATTACTTGTAATTTGATAGTGCTGATATCTATTTTCTCTACAATATAAATATTCTAAATCAGTAGGTAACATTGAACAATTTCATACCTAAATACCTACTTAAAATTCAGGAAAAGGGAATTAAGATGTACAGCTCAGTTTACATCCTACTGTGTCTTGGCTTGTCATGATGGATATAATGAAAACTGTGTGTGTGTGTCTCATTATCAGGTCCTGTTGTGAGGTTCATTAAAGTGAGGATCAGCTCACAAGACTCAGTGCTGGAGCAAAACAACCCTGAAGTGGAAGACGACATCTTAAAACAAGTGAGTCAAAGGTCACATTTACATTTGTCACTTCAAATGTCTTGTATCCAAATAAAATCCATATGAGATTTACTTTCATTCACGCTTCGACACGTGTATGCATCTCCATAGGCCAGATCACAAATCTGACTGCAATCTGTCTCGGTTTTCCAGGCTACATGCAAATTAGCGAGTCCAGATGTGGTTCGTAATGAACATGAAGCTGTTTAGTAAATACCAAAAATACCACAAGAAGAATAACTTGCACACTTTGATATAAAGCAAGGCTATAACTTTTTCTGAATAGTACCCCCGTATGGCCACACAAGGTATTTATAAAATAATGTCAGATTGAATTTCCTTTCATTTCATCACTTTCTTTTGACCATAGACTGTAAATAAAGGTGGATGAAGCTGATATCTGGGCAGAGACTATGGGGTTGTCAGGCAGGAACAACAGGTATAGTTGGGTGTCATCTGCATAATAGTGATATGAGAAGCCAATTGGGCCCAAGGAGGTGGTGTATGTTGCAAAAAGAAGGGGTCCCAGGAACGATCCCTGGGGCATCCCAGAGGGGAGGGGATGAAATAAGGATGGTTGTCCTTGCCATGACACACTATCAAGAAAAGAAATTGGACGGTGGTAAAACAACTTTGTGGACAACTCAGAGAACAAAATCTAAATCTAAAATCTTAGGAGAAATATTAAGTATGACTTGCACAGGCATATGTATTGTATAGTTTCCTTTTAGTATATGTCAAATTGCTAAATATTAAGATTGTTTAAAACAGTTTACCAAGTCAATAAATGTATAGTACACACTGTTTACAGTAAATATGGATGAAATTGGGACACACTGCTAGTTTAGCAGTAGAATTGTTTTAGTGACCATGACCTGATCCCAGATAAGCAGCAGAAAATGGATGGATGGATGGATGGATGGATGTACGAACAGTAACGTTTTCTTTTAATTTGTCGATTCTGTCCTCTGTTCCTCAGATCACGCAGCAGCTGAGGAACGTGAGTGTGACTGATAATTTCATATTAAGATGGAAAAAGTATCCTGATGGAAGAGTTTTTATCAAGGAACCGTGTCAAGACAACAGATGGATGAAGAATGAGACGCAGATTAACTGAAACTCACAGCAAAGTCAAAATACTCAGACAAAAATTTACATACTACAATGCCACACTACAATGAATTTTCATTTTAGCAGTGATCTATGATATTAACGATGAGTGTGTGTAATCTAGAAGTCTCCTAAACTATGCTACTGTGTTCACTTTCATGCTTTAGTATTTGTTTCTAAATTCAACTCAGATTATCACCTACACACACATAAACACACATTCTCTCCCAGTGCACAGGACAACAGCACAGAGCCAAGTAACCTACACATCATGGATCATGTTGCAGTTGTATTAGTAATTTTGGTTTATGTCTCTAACCACGTTAGTTGTGTTTTTAAATTTGCTTTTGTGCTGTTTTGTTTTGCACAGTTGTAGTTGCTTTCATGGTTAGCAGGAGATAAAAGTGATGTTTTATTATTATTATATATTATTCATATATCATTTCAGTTATGAGCCTCGCATGTTCTCCGTGTCAGATATGTCAGTCTGTCAGATGTAATCAAAGGCAGAGAACCCATATATTACACTTTTATCTACTTGTGAACCTACTGTCATATAAATAGATCAATTTTACAAGTAAGTTTACCCACTTTTTAATCGGTTTGTTCCCTTGTTCCTTTTCTGTTTGCTGTCTATTTTTCTTATTTTGTTTTACATCTGTTTTGTATACCATTTTCATTACTGTAAATATAATCTTTTTGTTGCTATCATGCTTGTTTGATGCTACGTTTGTTTGCTAACTTTTGTTTTAAAAATTGCCACATAAATGAAGCTTTACTTCTGTATTTAAACTGGGGAAATAAAATACAGATCATAATCGAAGAAAATATTGTTTATCTTGATTGAAATTTTCTTGCATGTAAATGTACTTACAGGAATGATGAAAGCTTGAGTACTTGCAACACATACATGTTCAAATATTAATTAATCACATCTTTTTATTCCAATAGTTGAATCAAGTGCACTAGTAGTCCGTAGGCCTGGTGTAGTAAATATACCTTTCATCCCAACATTACAAAGGTTAAGGTAATTTTCCTACGTCGTTCTGTGTCCAGCCTGTGTATAATGTTTACATGTTGCCAAATTTGACTGACAAAAGTATCTCAATCAGAGCCAAGAACCTGTCCAGTCTTCATAAATAGTTGACCAAGTTTTAATATCACTTCAATGATTTTTTTTCCTACAAAGTCTTTTAGTTAATGTTAAATTAAATATCAAACATCTTCACTCATATGAACAAATGTAAACAAGAGACAGGAAGTATCAAGTTGACATATATTCAGTGAGTTGCCAAATAATAAAGTAAATCTATCTAAGCGTAAGTCACAGTGAATGACTCAGATGTTTTACACAAAATGCAGCAATGTGGCTCCAAATATACAGCAGCCTGTTCATCACCACTGCTGCTGCAAAGCTTGTTGATAAGTCATCAAACTACAATAACTATCTATCTCTTTGCATAATGTCTCTCCCTCTGAACCTCCGTTACAGTTTGAAAATGTCTCAAACATTTTATATATTGTCAATGATGTTTTGTATTTGGAAACCGCCCCAATGAGCCAAAATTATCGCAAAACAGCCAGATCGAGTTTTACTGTCCAAATGAAAGAATAAGTAGCCCAACTGGCAGCAAAGCAATTCAGTCTGGCGACACAGCGTCTCATTAAGGGTTCACCTTTAGTTTGCCCTTCACTTTTATTATCATGGTTTGCATTTGTCTTAATCCAGAGTTTCCATGCGTTTTACATATTAAGGAAGAAATATCTGCACAATTATGTTGATACAAACAAACACACTGAACCTGCATGACTCACTTCTGAATCAGCTTTATCCAAGACTCATTAAACATTAGGTGAGTCTCTTTTATATTCTCAGGATTCTCACTCTTCAGTATAAAAAGTAAGGTTTCTAATCCATTTTACAACGTTGGCCTGTATCTACTAAAGCAAATAAAGATGGCAACCAGGAGTAACATATCACCTGAATCATCCTATTGATACAATGCATCATGAAAAGTGAACGTTTTACTGCCAGATTCATTTATCTGCATTTGTAATTTCTGATATACAGTTAAGCAGCACCACAGACTACACCCTTTGGAACAACCATTAAGTTGAATCAACACCTCTCAATAAAAACTGAACATGGAGGTAGGATTTATTGCAGGACTGTTGCATTACTTTTATCTAAGTGTACCTAATAAACTGCCAGCTGAGTGTAGGCCATTTCCACATAATCCATCTTTGATTACAACACGAGTGAATGCACTTCCTTCACTTTCCACCACTGTTTTTGCAAGTTTATCCCTCTCATCTAATGTAAACATTTGATTTTAACAAACTTGTTAAAATGTTATTGACTCCTTTATGGTCCGTACATGAGGTATAATTCTTCTGCAGTTGTTCATGTTGTATAATGAAACATGCCAGTTTAGAGGATATTGTCTACCTGTCGTCCTACCTGTGCTAAGTGTAAATGTATGTTGACGTTTGAGAGCTCGTTCTTAATTAGCAGATGCTGCCTAAACACTGTTAACGCCATTAAATTAAGACGTGCAATTCAATTCAGCGAACCAAAGCATCAGTTTGTTCCATTAGCCAACCATGGATGTATTATATGATCTGGATACCTGACCTAAAAATGGCGCCCGTTCAATTCTATAGTATTTGTTCGCCTCGCGCATCCCACTTGTACAATAAAAAATGAACAAGGAAGTCGAGAGCCGGAACAGAAACAGTTCGTCTTCAAAGTAAAGGTTGCACGTTTTGAACAAACGTGCTGGTTGCAGCGATCTAAAAAAAAAAAAGAAAAAAAGAAATCTATTCAGGCTCTCGACTTCCTTGTTCAATTTTCTTGGTACAAGTTGGATAATGGAACAAACTGACGCTTTAGTGCGCTGAACTGAATTGCACGTCTTCATTTAATGTGACAATAACACACGCAAAGCGTTAACAGCGTTGAGGCAGAATCGGCTAATGAAGAACGAGCTCACAAACGTTTATTATATATATATATATATATTATATATATACATTATACAGGAGGAAGGTGTCACCTCTCCTTCTATGTGGTCCAGTGTGAATTTTACAGTGTGAAGCAGTTTGAATGATCTTCATGGACTTTTCCATGAGCTGATTATTTAACTTAAAGATAAGGGGTTGATTAACCGTTGTAACTGTGTAAATGCTAAAGTGTTGGCTGTAATTGTATTATTGTATGTCTTCCGTGTAATTCTCATTATATGTTCTGAAAAAATAGTCGAGCTTCCGATATAGATTTTGAAGTATTTTCTTGGCTGTAACTCAGTACCCCCCCCTGCTAACAGGACGCAGTGGTACGCTCCAAATGACAGCTCGACCTGAGCTAGCCCTCCTACCCGAGCATAAGCAGCCTCTGAGAGCCACCGAAAGAATCGTTTTAACCAACATTTACGTGTTTAATTTGTGTCGTCGTTCTCTAATTTTCAAGTATTTACCACCAACATGTCTGCTCCTAAGAAGGGAGACTTGTCCTCAAGTGAAAAGGAGTTGTTTGAGGTTATTACTGCAGGTAAGCCTCTTCGGCTAACGCTAATCCCTGAGGAAACCATGCAGCAGTTAGCTCCTGTTAGCTTCTGTGATAGGTTAGTGATACAAATAATACAGAATAATGTCAGTTTAACAAATTTGCCACTCTGTGACCGCTTTGTTAAATCACACCGGTTCATTTAATGGTTAGCTTGATGACGAGGCTCGGTAGCAACTAACGTTATCTAACAGCTAATGATGTGTACATGAGTAGCTTACCTCTGATAGCCTGCTGTCTTCATATTCCCATCTCAACTTCCAGGATGAAATTAATCTTTAAAGTAGTTTCTATAGAAGTGTTTTTATTGTAGATATGCAAGAGTACGTATTATGTAACTGATGCACTGATAGGTCAATTAAAACAATATCCTTAAAAGAAGAAAAAACTCAGAATAAAGAGATGGGTTTACTGTTGAGAGCTGCATGAACTGTTGGTAAAGCTTGGTGTTGTCTTTATACTGGGTTAATATTGAGTCTTGTGCTATTAGGAAATGTTCAAGAGGCCTCAAGGCTGTTGGGCTGTAAGGATGTTCGAGTCAACTGTTTGGATGAGGTAAATGAACAATTCTGACAATAGTAAACTCTCTAAAACAAGTCCACACCTTTGCTAATAGCCTTTATTTCTCCCAATTCACATGCCAGGATGTTGATGTGTATTTAGTTAGTAAGTATTAGTTTATTTGCACAGGAAACAAAACACTATATAACATAATGCATTAACAGATTCATTGTATTTATCCTTGGGCATAGCATTAACTTGCATCTCTGACTCAAATATAGTCATCAGTGCAAAACTGTCACATATCAGAAGTGTCACAAACACATTAACACACTGAGGCTTCTTTCACAAAATGTGGTCAGTGCATTTCAGGATGACAGTTTTTGTGGAAGAGATGACATGATAAGATCTTTTAGCAAAGCTCTTCCTTTGTTCAGTGACATATGTGTGGGACAAGAGGACTTGTGAGTCTCCACACAGAAGGGCTTTGGAGGACGTCCTTCCTTTTTTCTGTTACCCTTTTGTGTCCACCTGTCAAAATCAGCTGTTTGACACAAATACGCTGTTATGTAGTAGAAGCTGTGTGAGTCTTTAGTAGCTGTCACTATTTTCAGGACATTTTGCTCTTTCCTTTTGGCATGGAAGGAGAGAAAAACATAAAACTGGCCTTGGTCTGGTAAATATACTGTAGTGGATAACTTCACATCTACTGTAACAATGGGAGGGATCTACTGTTGAATTTTGTTGGAGTAATGCGCAAAGAGCAACTACAACAGGTGGGAGTAGTTGGGATTTCTCTTTACATACTGGGACTTGGGGCATGTTGCCCATTAAGCATCATAACAGTCAATAACTTGAAAATATTTGGTTGTTACAGAACTCAAAGATAGAAAAACAATGTTCCAAGGAAAAATAAAACAAAATATAAGGGGAAAAACACAGTTGATATACAAAATATAAGCATAGTTTTACGTGACATGTCATGAGTACAGTTACTTAATAGAGGCAAAGTACGAGGTGTAACGGTGAAATGATTAGCTAATTCATTGATTAATTGTAAAACAGAAAATTAAATTCAGTAAGTATTTTGATAATTGATTCTGATGTTTTTCAAGCTCAAATGTCAATCGCTCTCTGGTTCCAGATTCTTCAGTTTTGAGAATTTGCTGCTTTTCTCTATTTTAAATTATTCATATTAAATCATGTGATCATATAAACTGATGCTCTTTGGGTTTGTTGATGAACAGGACATTTGAAGCCTCGAGCTGTAGGAAATGATGATGGGAAATTATCTCTATTTTCTGAAATTTAATGGACAATGTGATGAATTGACAATTTAAATAATGGTTATTTGTAGCACTTAATGTATGTGAATTCTTTACAGCAGTTTAGTGCATTGCAGAAAGAGATAGTAAAAATACACATGAAACATATTTAGTACAGCATGACAGTTTAAACTCTGTATTGAGATCATTAGGAGCAAAAGTATCCGATATGTGTGGCAGTGCAAAAGTGTTTTTGTTTGTGTCGTCCTCAGTACGGGATGACCCCTCTCATGCACGCTGCTTACAAAGGAAAGGCAGACATGTGCAAGTTGCTGCTGCAACACGGAGCGGATGTGAATTGCAACGAGCATGAGCACGGATACACAGCGCTGATGTTTGCTGGCCTGTCAGGTACGCTGTTAGTGTAACAGGTGAAACGTTTAAGATGTTAGAGTCAATCATCACAGCAAAAAGATCAAAAATCCAATCTCGGTTGTTTTGGAAAGTCCCTCCCTCTGTGTGCTGTGACTTTTCTCCCTCTGTGCCTGCAGGGAAGACTGATATCACGTGGATGATGTTGGACGCGGGGGCGGAAACGGACGTTGTCAACTCTGTCGGAAGGACCGCCGCTCAAATGGCCGCCTTTGTTGGTAAGTCTGGATGTGACGTGTCCTCACTCTTTCTGTTTTACAGAGACGTGTTAGAGTTGTTGTTAAATCTGACTCCTGTTCATGGCCTTCTTTAAGCTAAACTTCCAGCATCTGGATACTGTTACTTCTGTCACTCTCTGACTTCCTGTTGGGCTCCACTCGGCCTGAAGTCAGTGAAAAAGGCCAAAGCTTCTAGGCTTGAATTCGTTCACACTGACACAAACTGTTTGTCTACTGTTTCACTTAAACAGCTCTGACTAAACATGAACATGTGACAGATAATACATTCATTCTTTCTTCTGTTGTCGCTCCTCAGGGCAACACGACTGCGTCACGGTGATCAACAACTTCTTTTCACGTGCCAGACTGGATTACTACACCAAGGCCCAGGGTTTGGAGAAGGAACCAAAGCTGCCACCTAAACTGGCCGGACCCCTCCACAAGGTCATCATGAGCACCAACCTGAACCCTGTGAAGGTAGGACACCACTGGACAGGGACTATATGTTCAGACGTAGACTAAACAAGTTCTTCATCCTACAGGCCTGCACCATCCTCATCCAACCACCCTCTAATATCTCTTTATACGTTTTTTATTTCCACCTCCTCCTTCTTGGGGAATAACAGAAGTAGACAAATATTCATCTTCACTTTCACTGATTTCTGTCTTTATGGAGCAACAAGGAAGCTGCTTCATCCAGTTTTGCCAATTCGATACGATTTAAAACAAAATTTTGTTAATGTAACAAAGACACTTGTTATCTTTGACATTTTTAAATACAATGACAATGGAAAAAATAATTGCAGGTTCAAGTTGCAGTCGACATCAACTTTGATTATTCCTGGAAAAACCTACATTTTCATTACAAATTGAACTGAAGGAGAATGTGTTGTGTTTTTTTCCAGATGGTGATGCTGGTGAAGGAGAACCCGCTGCTGGCAGAGGTGGAGGCTCTGGACAAATGCCGTCGGGTGATGGAGCTCATCTGCGAGAAATGCATCAAGCAGCAGGACATGAACGAGGTGCTGGCCATGAAGATGCACTACATCAGCTGCCTGCTGGGAAAGTGTGCCTCCTTCCTCAAGGACCGCGAGGACAAGCTGGACGGACTCATCAAGAGGTGAAGAAAACTGCGTCATGATCTGTTCATTACAGGTGTAAACTGTTGGAGAAGGTGTTCACTGTCCTGTGTCCAGGTTTAATGGTAAATTAATTGGAGACAGACTGTTTTATAACGTCTGAGTGTCTGTCTGTGTCAGTGACATCACTCTTATAGCTCCATGTTTACTGCTAGTACCAGTTAACGCAGATTGTGTTGCAGGAGTAGACACGATGGATTAGGCTTAGACGTTATCTGAAATGTAATATCTCGATACAGTCCAGCCCAAATGTCACAATATATGATGTTATCCCAGGGGATGATGGATTGTTTATGTTTTGTTTATTTTTTCACAGTTTCAATGGGACAAAACTGAGTCTGACTGAGTCTCTGCTGTATCTGCTCTGAAGTTTCTTCTGTCCTGATAACAGTTGTAAAGTGATGCACATTTCGCTCAAGTCTCCTTCATGTCTCTCCTGCAGTTTGCTGAAGGGGCGAGACTGCGACGGTTTCCCCGTCTATCAGGAGAAGTTTATCAGAGAGTGCATTCGCAAGTTCCCGTACTGCGACGCCACTCTGCTGCAGCAGCTGGTGCGGAGTATCGCTCCTGTAGAGATTGTGAGTCTGGATTAATGATTTTAAAACTGTGTAGAGATGGTTATATCCAGCAGTGTGTTTGTGATCAGTGTTTTTCTTTTGTTTTTTTCCCTCCCTTCGTCACAGGGTAACGACCCCACAGCTCTGTCAGTGCTGACTCAGGCCATCACAGGTCAGGTCGGCTTCATGGACGCAGAGTTTTGCACTTCCTGTGGAGAGAAAGGAGCCGAGAAGAGATGTTCCATCTGCAAAATGGTGAGAGTGAAAGCTGCAGCCCGAATATCAATATACACAGAGAACGAAGGAGGCTCTTCTTCTTCTCTTCTTACGTCTTTAGGAACTCCTAGTTTGGCCTCATCTGCTGGTGTAGCTTTTATTACACATTGCACATGTTCAAATAAGATGAATTTTGTTGGGGGGGGGGTTTCACCAGGTGATCTACTGTGGCCAAGCCTGTCAGAAGATGCACTGGTTCACACACAAGAAAGTTTGTAAGAAGCTCCAAGAGCAGAGAGAGACGCACGAAGCAGAATCAGCCAAACTGAGGACGCAGCAGAGTAAAGGTACCTCATCATCGATGACTTCCTAATAGTATAACTCCCATAGAAACACAAGTAGCATCATTTCAACAAGCAAGTATTTGGAATTTACTTAAACTTGACTGCAAACTAATTAGTGCCAGTATTTTTCAAAGCATTAAGTAAAAGTTTTGGAAAATTTTTAAGCTTCTTGGAGCTTTCTTGTACATTTAGAAACATTTTGCAAAAGTCTGTAAATGTCTTTTTTGTATCGGAAATACATTTGCGAGGCTCAGTGTTAGGTTTTCATTTTTCAAGGAAATAAATGCAGGAAATTACCAGTATTTCCTTTATTACATGTTTTAAAAGTCTCATATTAAAAATACCATTTAATCTAACCATATAGTTTTCTTTTTGTGTGCTGAGAGGCGCTTAATTATCTTCTCGTTTGGATTTTCTCTTGATTTTCTGATGGATGCTGGAGGGACTTTTACTGCTTCCATCAGTGTCCTTGCACGGCAAAAATAAACAAACTTTGGAATTCATGTGGATATAAAATCAAGATGCAAACTCATCTGCTTTAAAGAATAATCATGGTGTTTTTTATTTTTTTTTGTAAAAGCAATGAGCCTTAGAAATCTGTTGGAATGACGTTAATCTGAATTTCAAATTGTACAAATCCATTTCTTGCCAAGGCTGCATTATTATCATAAATCTAACATGACAGAACGTGATGATGGCTGACCACATGTTGCTCTCAATATAAAAGCAAAGTCAGACCTGCAGTAACAGTATTGTGTTTGTGTTTCAGAGGAGAGTGACGCGGTGCAGGAAGCCACAGACTCCATACAGGAGCTCTCAGTGGAGACCAACAGCGAGGTCGCACCCTCAGAAACCTCAAACCCCGCCCCCATCGCAGCTGCCGACAACTGAGGAGCGCCCGTCAGCATCCGCCATTCTCCAGAACACATCCATACTCCACAGACAGAGAGAGCAAACTGGCAGTAAGACTGAAAGCCAGACAAGGACTGGTCCGGCCGGAGAGACGAGCCCGTATTTATTATCGACCTGAGACTGTCACGGAGGCAGGGCGACACCGAAGCATCCGAGGAAGGTTTGTGCCACAGCGGCCATCTTTGTGTAATTTTTATATGTTGATTTTTTTTTTCTTTCTTTTTTTTTTTTCAGACGACATTGTCATATGTGAATGTGAGAATTGCGTAGGCTGGTGTGTTTGTGGTAGAGGTCACTGGGAGGAATTGTGGGTAATATATGAAGAGCTAATTGGTTCACGTCCACAATGGAACGTAAATCTGCCTTAAGAGCCTGTAGCAACCTGTGCGGGAAGGAAGTGACTGTGTGGCCAATCAGAGCTGCTGTCTGTTTGCATTGTACCTGATTTGTTATTGGGATGTTTTTGGGGGTTTTTTTTGTACTGATAACTTTGTGGTAGATAGTGAGTGGATAGCATGGCTGCACAATATTGACCAAAAATGTATATTTTTTAAAATATGAACAACATAAACATGATTTATTTTTAGTGTTGAAAGATGATGTTAACACTCAGGATTTTCCAAATTGTAACTAAATGACAGATTTTTTTTCCCCCCACTGATCCATCATTTGTTGACCAAGCGTTGTTGTACGCAGCACAAGAAACATCATGTCCAGGAAAAACATTCATTAATGATGCAGCCTGAATGGACAGAGAAGCTGAAGGTGAACGACACGTCCCATGAGGCTTTGTTTGCCCTGAATGATCCAAAAACTTGATCTTTAATCATGATAAATAAAAACCATCTTCACCATTTTTTTTTTTGCAGTAGATTTTCATATTTTACCGGTATGTTCTTCATTTTTCTCACCAGTTTATTCTCTGTATGTTCAGATGAAGAAGTCAGAACTTTACATACACCTCAGCCAAATATATTTAAACTCTGTTTTGCACAATTCTTAACATTTAATCGTAATACACATTACCTGTCTCAGGTCGGTTACGGTCACTGCTTCATTTTAAGAACGTGAAATATCTGATAAGATAAGATAAGATTTATTTCAGCTTTTATTTGTTTCATTATACGTACATTGTAAGTATTTGGTAGCATGGCCTTTGAATAGTTTAACTTGGATCAAACGTCTCAGGTCATTGTGGCCAAACGGTTCACTTTTAGTTTCATCAGACCACAGGACATTTCTCCAGAAAGCGAGATCTTTTTCTCCATGTGCAGTTACAAACTATAGTCTGTCGTTAGAGTGATGACATGACGTGGGTATGAAAACATCAGAGGCAAAAGGTTTTTATTTCTTAGGTAATGTACACCTGAACAATTAATGCAAACTACCACCTCTGCTTTCTTTTTTTTTAACCCTATAATGTTCAGAGAGGTGATGATTTAACTCTGGAGGCTCTTGTGAAAACTTTAAACATAAATTACACCATATATAACTAAAGAATGGATATTTAAAGGGTCACATATCCGTAGTAGCATACTGCACTTCCATGCACTTTTCTTTTTTGTTTGTTTGTGAAAAAACATTAAGTGACACAGAAGACATTGTGACCATGTAGATTTATAATGTACTGAGGTGTCAGCTGCAGGACCTCTGCTGCCACCCCAGTAAACTGAAGGTGAATGGAATTAAAGCTATATAATAATCAATAATTTATATGATTGTCATCAATGATTTTATATTTACAATCCATCACAATAACTTTGTGATACAGATTCTTCAGTTCCCCTCAGTTCTACAGAGGTTTCCTGTTTCTCTTCCTGCGCTCATCAACAGCTACTGAGAAGCAGTGTCTTATTTTGAAAAGAACATCCTGTTTTTGTTTTTTTTTGTTTTTTTTTTTGTCTGGATAATTCACAGACCTTGCTGTCAAATTTTTGTAACAGATCATTTTGAGCAGACCACAGAAACAGCGATACAGTGGCAGATATTTTGCGTTACAGCGTGTAATGACTGAACACTTTGAGAAAGCGGCCACCGTCGTCCTCCTCTCCTCGTGTGGTTTATCTTACTCGTCTGCCGAAGGCCACGGACTGGAGGACGCGGTGACTCTCCTGCCTGAACATCTGGAAGGACCTCCTCCTCTCTTCTGGCTTCACCTCTGAACACACAACAGGTAGAGGACCATATCTACTGAAAAAAATGTTTGAGAGACTTTGTAATAAAAGTGTGAAATGTGACAGGATGTCTTCATGCGTTACCTTTCCCATCTAAGACCTGGATAGAAGGCAAACGGTGGATCACATGGTGTCGATATCCAGGTTCATGAGAGATGGGGTTGAGGAAAAAAGCTGGGGAAAAAAAATCAATGGTGTGAATATTAATGGAAGTGTTGGACTTTCTCAGGCAAAGGGGGAAGGGAAAATCCTCACTGGCACTTTGGAGCTGCTGCATCCTCCTGAGCTCGTGCGTCGTGTCCTCCAGTCCTCTGATCTGGTTGTTGTGGAGAAAAAGACGGCGCAGGCAGGTCAGATGATTTAGAGCCCCTGTAAGAGAAAGATTCACATGGATCTCTATTATTCATTTATCCAGGATGCATCTGGTTTTCATTTACCTGCACATATTTAGACCTAAAAGAAGTGGAAACTACTCCTTTGAGGAACTCTCAACTTAGTGTTTCTATTTTATGCTTTAGTTTATACTGTACTACTTTTCAGAGGGAAATATTGTAACTTGACTAAATTTATCTGACAGCTACAGTTGTATCTGTGTTTTTATATGAGCAAAACATTTGAGCAGCTTCACTGTGTAAAGGGAGCATTAAGTGCTTCAAGTTAAAATATATTGAAAGTCTGAAAAGTAAATTGTAAAAACAAAATCAGCCTCGGATTTTTCACTCTTTTATTGCTCTACTAAAGGGCATTACGTTTTCATATCGTCTCCAGTCAGATTCACCTGTAATAGACTTGATGTTGTTGTTGTGGAGGTAAAGTTCGGTCACGCAGCAGTTCAGGGAGCGACAGCTGAGCTCTCTGATCTGAAAGAGTCAGAATAGACAGAATAAATGAGACTTTCTGTCAATTTAAACTAAAAAAATAACACCCAGTTGTTGCTGTAAATGAAGCTTTACCTTGTTGTTATTCAGCCACAGCTTCCTCAGAAAGTGAAATCTTGATAAGTCGGGGACACTGGTGAGTTTTCTGTTTACAAAAGGCTTGTTTGTGAAATTATTCAGCATGTGACTCAGTTTTCACAGCAGCTGAATTGAGACTCAGATACATTTATTTTTAATGCCAAAAAAAAAGAAATGTTTGTCTTACTTTGAGGTGAGGCTGAGTTGGCAAACATCAGCGTCCCTCCTTATCCCACACTTCTGGATTATGTCATTTATATCCTGTGTTTAGGGTAAAAGAAAAAGTAAGAAAAACAGATAATCTCAAAAAGTAAAACTGAGGTTGAAAGTGTTTGAGATAAAGCTGTTCACCTTGCCCACCTCCATTGTCTGTCACCTTTTGGATTTCCAGCCACACCTGTTGCCAGGAAACTGCTGTTGTGTTTGAATCACAACAAACAAAATATAATTTTCAAAAAATTATACGATTTTTTTTTAATCTTTTTTTTATCTTTTATGCATAGATAATAGTATCTTTAGGTATTTTATGTTAATCTTTGTACAGATTAAAGATTAAATGCGTCATCATTCATCTGCAGTGAAGGTAAATATCCAGCAGAGGGGAGTGTTTCACCAGAATTCACAGGCAAACCAGGTCAATTGAGTTTTCAGGTTTATTCACGCTGTAGTTTCTAACTGCAGTGGAGTTTTGCTGTTTACTGCAACTTAACAGCTGATTTTACAAATAGACCATAGTCTCTTACACTATAGATAAGTCATTTACTACACTTCCTGCAGCACTGTGTTTACTGTAGTTAGATAGCTGCTGTTTTGAATGTTTTGATTTTGGGACACATTTTAGAGGGAAATATTGAACCTCAATACATTTATCTAACAGTTGTAGTTACTAGTTCTTACATTGCTGGTTAAAGAAATTGTTTGGGAAAACACACTTATTTGCCTTCTTTCGAAGAGTTAGATCTATAGAAGATCTATACTCTTATGTTTTTATGTCATTATAGAGTTGGAGCTTGGAAGTACTCACTTTAACCTAGCTTAGTGTAAATACTGGAAGCAAGGGGAAACGGTTCACCATGTTGTAACCACTTTGCATTTCTGTTAGGAGATCAGCCATGATTGAAAGTGAACTAGGTCTTTACATTTCTCAGCAGATTTCATCATCCCTCTGTCTTTATCAGGACCTGAGCCAGTACAGATGCAATACCGCCTCCACCTGTCTCACCAACGGCAGAGTCCAGACAGTGAGGAGGGTCTAGGTGAGTAACATGCTATCATTCACTTTTAAAAGTAAGACTTGTCTATACCACTGTGATTAAATCAGACCCACAGTGTGAACATGTTCACACTGCTGATTCTTAATGAATATGCCACTGCCAATATTGGTTATGTATCTTACACTGTATCCATATTTGTACTACTGAATTTGTTGGTTATATAGTGTGTTTACATTGAATTCTTATCACACCTCTAGTTGTTTACCCTTCATTTCCTTGCATTTATATCTCATGATATTCATACTGTGTTTGTTTTGCATATTCATATCTAGCCTCACAATTTATTATATACACAGAACAGATCCAACATGTTTGAATATAAATAACTTGTATGATCTAAAGGAATTTTCCTATCACATGTTTGTCTGTATCAGGACCAGAATTCCAGTCTAATCATCACCAATGATGGACCAGCACCTGCCTTTCCTTCTGCATCTGGCCTCATCAATCATCAACCACATTACATCAACACCTTGAGGTATTATCCCTGCACATGACAGATATTGTCTATCCTGTGATCTTTTGCACATCCCCTAATCAATACCTTTTGCACAGCTTGCTCAGCAGGAGTTTTTTCATTCTGAAATACTTTTGTACATAGTTGTGTAGTATCGTCTTCATTGTTTTATTTTTATATATATGTATCTATGTATATTTATATTTGAGTATTGCAGTATTTTACCTTTTTTGTTATTTCCTATGAATACGTTAATTGGATACTACACCAAACCAAATATCTTGTAAGTGAAAACCTACCTGGCAATAAAACTTATTTTCTGAGTCTCTGTGATGTCGTCATCCCTTCATCATGCTGCGAGTGGAGTGCAACTTTTTCTATCTTCATTTATAACTTTTAATTGACATTATTTATTATTATTATATTTTATTTATTGCATTTGGAGTGGTGTTTGCCACAATGCTGTTACTGTATGTAAGAATTAATTTGTAATATGTGCTTTCTTCTGTTCTTGCAGCTCACATCATGTGCTGTGGTGCAGTGGATGGATGGGCATCGGTTGAGAAAACTAAGGTCGTCACATGACTCACTGTCACAGGGGGAGGAACCCTGGGAGAGACCATCAGTTTCACCTGAACCTCCAGTTCTGCTGGTAAGTTTTATGATAAGTTTATCAAGCTACAGTGACTCACTATCGCCTCTTGAGGAACAAAGTGGTGTTACAAGATGAGACGGACAGTTCAGGACATCTAGCACCAGTTACACAGTGTAGTTTTTAAGACAATTTGCAGTCAAATCTGTTCAAAGGAATGCATTTTATTAAGCGTTGCTGTATATTGGATAAACTTGAAATAAAGGGCTGATTTGTTTTAGCATTTGTAAGTGTCCACGCAACAGTAAACACATGAAAATTGACAGACACACAGAAGTGCACAAGTGCAGTTGCTGCCCAAACTTTCACACATGGGACTGTGATTGGCTAATTAGACTGATTAGCTCAGGAGAAATCACAGCAGCTTTATTGCAGATCAGCTTCTGCAAGAGCATGTACCTGTGTGTATGTACATGTCTTGCTGTGGTTGTTGGGACAAATTTAGGCTTGAAAACCATCATTGTGAGAACCTTGGTCGGCCCTCAGAGTTTCAGACTGCTTTTTTGAGGGACACCTGCAATGACTGAGGTCAGAGTTGTATAATAATATAATTCTCTACAACATGAATGAAACTCGAAGTGACGTCCTCTGCAGAGATTGGAACGTGTGTGATGGATACGCACCAAGCAGCGGGCACGTTCAAAATTTGTCCTTCAGGAATTTTTATTTATAGTAGAAGTATTGATTGTCATATTAGATCCCTCTCAGGGAATAACAGAAGTGATTGAGACACAGCCCTCATCTATTGTTGGGATCTGTCCCGAACTTTCTTTCTTGACTCTGTTCCAGGTGTCGTTCGTACCTTTCCCCCCTCCCCCTCCCATGCTGCTTGTCAGTGAGCTATTAACCCAGCCACCTTTCATTTCCCATGAGGGTTAGGGGCAACCGAATTCCTGTTGGTGAGTGTCAGTGTGAGGGAGAGGGAGTTAGCTCCCAGCTTCCTGTTTCATTAAACAGTGAGGGCACAAAAGCCGCGGGGCCTATCATATTCACTCTTTAACCCGCTCTCAGAAGAAGCTCAGAGGGGCGTCGGAGTGTAAATAGCTTCCTGAGAAGAGTGGGACGTGTTGTCCTTTATTTTCTCTCGGAAGTGGAGTGAATGAGTCTCTGGTGTCGTTGTTTGAGGAAAAACAAAAGAGAGAGGAAACAATAACAGAAGCTGAGTGTGAAGTTTAATGACAGGCTGGGTTCACCTGCCGAGGTGACTTTTTTTAAAAGCAGAATCAAGAAGGAACAATTTCATTTAAGGTTCTGGTACCTGAGTATTTCTCTTACTCTACATTTAAAGGTTGGAGAGGGGGGGTTTGTTTGTCTGCTTTAGCATAAACAGCAGTGATTAGCATGTCTAGCTAACTGGCCACGTATCATTAATTAACTACTTTGTGGGTTTAAGACACAAAACCTGTACTCAACTAGAGCATCCACTGTGTAGCATTTCCTCGCAAACTGGTCAGTCTCAGACGCTGTTAGAGCTCGTGTTAGCAAAATAAATCCGGCCCATACTTGGCCCAAGCGTTTGTTTTTCTTCTGGCCCAGTATACGCCCGGCTCCATGGCCTGAATCTGGCCCATATACAGCATAATTGTCAGAAGCTACTTCCACATCTGAACCAATTCTTGCACACACACAGAAAGTCGTCTGTCAGTCAATATCGGAGGATAACAACCGGACTCTGCCCAGACGTGGAAGTATATGGGCCAGACTCGGGCCGAGGGACCCAGGCAGAAGTCTCATTTTGCTATCTACGTTACCGAGATAATGTTATGTTTGAAAAACACGTTGATATCTCCTGTAACATAAAAAGCAAAAATGCTTTATATGAAAATACAACCCAGTAACTGAGCTAACTGGCCAAACAGGATTACGTTAGAATAAACAGTCGGATCTTGACTCTATTTTTAACCCAGTTTTAACCCTGTGGTTCCACCAAATGTATTTCCTCCACCCGCTGATTTGAACGATAACCTTTCACTCCTAAAAAAGAAAGAAGACACAATCTCAGGCTTTTATTCCACTCTCCATCGTGAAATGGGGCCACAGCCTTCACAAAGTGCTGGTGTGATAATAAACCAGTCAAGTGATCTGCGTATCAGCTTTCACTCACATGAGCAACAATTAGTGTCTCTGCACGACGCCTCTTTTCAAATCAGTAAGACAAGCCTGGGTTGAATGTTCCCCACAAAGGTAATTATATCTCCCCTTGTTTTGTGCAGCGGACGCACAAAGACTCCAGTTAGTCTGGGCACTCGGATCATTAGATGTGTAACTGACAGGGATTGAGAGGCAGGCAGACGGAGGATGACATAGACAGACAGCAAATTACACACAGACAATATCAGCTTTCATTCTTGAATTAAACGTGCGCCTGAGAAAGGCAAGTCGCGACGTGGAGAACCTCCAACACGGAGGAACTCGACGGGAGGTAAAATATGAGTCGGTGTCTGAAAATCGTCAGCTGTGCACACATGTGTGATTAATGCTGCTGAAGACGCTGGTGAAAAAATGAGCAGCTGTGGACCGAATCAGGGTCTGACGCACCGGACAAGACGGCAGACGTCACAGAGTTCAGATGTAAATTCAGTTGAACTGTTCAGTGACTGACAGCTCATCAAGGCTTTTCCTGCATCTGTTGAACAAAGGAGCAATGAATGCATCATCTTTCAACATTCTCACATAATTTGACCATGTGTGTTGAATGTGGGAAGCTCCTCGGATCATTTTTGCTCCAAACTATTTTCAATGTACACAATTAAAGTTGTTTGTTTTTGATGTCTGAGATCCAGTTTGGATTTCACTCATGAGCTTAAAATGACAGAGAATTGAACATATACATCATATTGGTTCCAATGAGCATCCAGTGCAGCTTTGCTCCATATTTTCAGATGAAATGTGAAGCTAAACTGCAAAGATCGCTTCTTTTTAGCCTCAAATTACTGCAGAGACTGAAATATCTCTGCAACTATTCGCCGGTTTGAGAATGCTACTGTCTTTGGTGGCCCCTCCCTGACTTTTCCTGTAGTGCCACCATGAAACCATTTTGTTGAGCTGCTCAGTTTTCATCTATAGTGCCACCATTATAAAATGTTAATTTGTTGAATACTTTCATTCAAATAACATTTCCATCAGCCTCAAACCTACAAGAGAAACTAAAGAAACAAACCTAACCTCCACCTGCTTTTCTTTGACTCATAACTCAAGAGCAGCAACAGTCACTCAAAGCTACGGCTGTTTATTACCTCACTGCCTCATAACAGCAGATTTACTGCAAATAATCAGAGTTGGAGGTATCATAGCGTCATACTAGATTTAGTCTCCACAGCTGCATCAAAAGTCTGATTTAGGACCGTTTTGGAAGCTGGTCTTCAACTGCCAAGTTAAAGCTTAATTTAGATCCTGATTTTTGTTGTTATTCTTGAACAAAGACGTTTTCTCAGGCTGAAAGAATCCTAACGTCAAGCCGAGGTAGAAATAAGGTAGAAATAATATGTGATTTCATGATTACAAAATGTTTCTGTCTCATTTAGAATGAAACTGCTGCGTTTAGATAATCTGAATATAGACCAGAAACTGACGTTGACCTCGGATCTAATCAGGACTTCTTGACTTTGGAAAGTAGCCTTCTTTCTACCAACAATTTAAGACTATTATTGTCACGTATTTCCTCTGCCCTGCCTTCTTTAGAGTCTGGAAGGATGTATTCCTCCAAGCTGCCACACGTATTCTATACAACTGATTCTGATTTCACAAGAAAACAAGTTTACGCTGAATTCATCTCCAGTGGAAGATGATGAGGGATCGTATAAAGGAATTGTCGTGTTACATATCCTGATCTTTTCTGACAAATGTCATCAGTGTTCATTTGATTCAGTTTTGATTTCTAGTTTTAAGTTGCTATTTTAAAACATATCTTATTATCTTTTATCATCATATCTCATTATATGTTGTTTTACAGATATATTAATATTGTTAATAAACTAAAACCAACTAAACTAAAACCGAACCAGAGGCCACTAACTCAGGCCCTTAATCCCATCATCATCATCATCATCATCATCATCATCATCATCATCATCATCATCATCATCATCATCATCATCATGGATAGGAGCTTCCTCATCTTCAGCATCCAGGATCAAATTTAACTCTCTAAAATAAAAGCAGTGGGCGGGTTGATTTTATGAGCGTGCACCAATCAGAGCGTCCCCTCAGAGACGCACCTGAGGAGCTGCCAGAGCGAGAGGCGGACCGGCTGTTGTGCTATAAAACCAGCGGGGCAGCGGAGACCTCCGTGCAGTTCACCCAGCATTACCTTACTTCAAGCCGGGCCAACATCTCATCTCCAACCGCTACACTCCCCCCTTCTCCCCCCTGCAAGCAACCATGCACCTGAGCGCGCACGAGTCGTGCCATTCCTTGGTCGTACTTTGCATCCTGCTGAGGAGTTGCCAAGCCCTGAAGAACGACGCCACGGAGCTGCTGTTCTCGCACGCGAGCGCGCCGGTGCCGGAGGTTCAGAGCAACGTGTCCCTGAACCGCGCACGCACCGGCGGGAGAGGAGCGGGCGGCGCGGCGCAGCACAGAGACGGTGAGTGAGGATGCTCTGCTGGTTTGTCATTTATCTGTCTGACTGTGATCAGGCCTGTGAAATGATCTTCTGATTTTTTCTACAGGGACTCGAACTTGTGGTGTGGTCCACCTTGGTGCCTTTAGGTTCTTTTTAGGAAACTGTTTCTGCTGCTAAATCTTTGACTTAATTATTTCCTTGTAGTTTCTGTTGTTGTTTTAAATCTTGGGGAATTTGGGAACGACTTTAAACAGTCATAATATTTGAAAATCATCTTTCTGTGATTTTGCAATGGATTCGTGCCCTACTTTTTTCAGTTGATGTAGCCAAAGGAGCATGAACAACAGATGAGAAAACAGAAAAATGCTGTTTCTCAAGCTGTCCCATGTGCACTTTTCAACATCTTTTTCTTCTTATTCACTTGATCTCTTCATTCCTGCTCATTAAAGGCTGCATGCAACACAAATCTCTTGATAAAGTTCAGGTTTAAGCATCAAAGTTTCCTCCTTTTGAGAGCCAGATGATGGATCTTTTTAATCAGGCACTTAATCATCATCATTTCAATCAGTTCACACATGATCTCTGCATTACTGAAAGGCATTATAAACTACATTTACCATAACAATACTTCATAGAAGTCACACAGTTTATACTTGTAAAAAGTAGCCTAAACCACAAAAATCCTGCCGTTGTGGAATAGTGTAAGAATCCCATAAGGTGCACTAAGGTCACTGTAAACTTGCCACAGTCTTGTACAGACATTATGGAGCTGGAATATGATAAAAAAAAAAAAAAAAACATGGCACATTTCAGAGTATAATCCCCTCAGTGTGATCGTACAGTGTCTCTGCTCCTGTAATCATGACTCCCAGCAGAGGCTGCTTCCCCGGCTGGCCGGTGTCCAGGCCGGGATGAGAGGCTCCGACAGGCTCTGGCAAACTGACCTGATGTCAGTGCAGCTGAATGGAGGTGTTCTCCCATGCACAGGAAACCTATGATTGTGGCTCTGAGCTCCCCCAGCAGCCACGAAGGAATGAAGGAAGGGGAGGGAGTGGGGGAGTAAGAGAGAGGGAGAGAAAGATGGAGCCTCAGCCCTGTTCATTCATCAAACATTGTCACAGAGGGGGGAGGCATTGTCACTGAGGTGTATGCAGCTGTATGAATGGACCTGAGCTTGGGTTACAGTGGTGGGGGGTGGGGTGGGGGGGGTGTTTGTAGCCTGCAGCAGAATAATAATGGTAGTTTTAGATCTTGCACAGAAATAATCCTCCTGTTAAATCCCTGACGTAAAGAAAGTTTTTCTTTTTCACAACATAATTCTTCAACTTTTTTGAAGTAGAAAGGTCAACATGTTATTGTGCTCCTTCCCTGTGACTCGCCACAGGCTGCAGGGTAAAGGGCTGGACAGTAATCCACTATTATCATGTATTATCTTTCAATATAATGATGAAATAATGACACAGAGTTACTGTTATATGCAATTGTATTGTCTCATTTGGTGCTGAAGAGGAAATTCTGAATGAAATCTCTGAGGAAATGTTACAGCTGCAACAATCAGTCGATTAATTGGCAGAAAAAAATTGATTGGAAACTATTTTAGTTGTTTTTGAAGCAAAAATACCAAACGTTAGCTTGTTTAAGCTTCTCAATCTGCAGCTTTTCTTTGTCATGCATGATAGTAAACTGAATTATTGGGTTTTGAACTTGGTCAGAGAAAAAAAGGCACTTTATAGTGACAGAGAGAAAAAGGTTTAATCAAGAAATCTGCAGATTAATTGATAATGATAATAATCGTTAGTTACAGGGATCTCTAATTAATTCTCATTGTGTTTTTCCACAGAACGAGGCCAAATTGGATGCAGAGAGCTGAGGTCCACTAAGTACATCTCTGATGGCCATTGCACCAGCATCAACCCCATCAAGGAGCTGGTGTGTGCCGGTGAGTGTCTCCCAGCTCAGATGCTTCAAAACTGGATCGGCGGCGCCTATGGCAGGAAGTTCTGGGGTCGCCGGAGCAGCAATCAGGACTGGAGGTGCGTTAACGACAAGACCCGCACTCAGCGCATCCAGCTGCAGTGCCAGGACGGCAGCACAAGAACGTACAAGATCACCGTGGTCACCTCCTGCAAGTGCAAGAGGTACTCGAGGCAGCACAACGAGTCGGGCAACAAGTTCGAGGAGCCGGCCGTGTCGCCGCCGCAGCTGCTGCACAAACACAAGGCCAAGAGCAAGAGGAGGCTGGGGAAGAGCCGGCTGAGTGAGAACTGGCACGAGACTGAACCCTGAGAGCCACCAGACTTACAGACTCACTCTGAATCCACATCAGCCTGCAGGAGTTTGGTCTCAGTGATATTGAGACACAACATCCAGAGCTTGAGGTTGTGGATTATCTCTCAATGTGACTGGGACTTGATTTATGTGAAGCTGGTTCCTCACTATGATGGAGAACTCCAAAGGGCATGCTGAGGACTTCTCTCGACATTTTAATCAACGAGGTTAAAGATAATGTGAACAGACCCGGGGTGTACAGCCTGCAGAGCTTTCTGGAGCCCCGAGACAACACACATTGTCCCATTGTAGCCATGTGCATGTGTTCATAACTATATTCATTTTATACATAGATGGAGATTTGCCTGTTTTGGCACCAACACCAGTAAACAACACAAAACATCTCAAAAAAACAATCTTGTGTAAATACTTGTACATATATCAAATTCTTACTTGCCTTTTGAAGTATGGCCATTTGTATAAAATTTTACCATGTAAGATTTATGATGTAGCTATGATGTAATATATTTTCTGTGGCAACATATAACATGATACGTTCTGGTTGAGTGGTGTCAGTTTGTGGGTGAAGTCTGGAAAAGCTTCTTCATCATTCATTCTTGTAATAACTTTATATGAAATAAACATCTTTTTATCACACATTGTTGTCAGTGGAGACTTTACCAGGTATGACTGTTTGATCTGCAGGAGGATTCACATTAAAGCTGAAATCAGGCCAACGTTGTTATTTAAGACTTAATCACAAATGCAACTAGAATGTTTACAAAGGAAGTTATTGAGAAAATTAAATGTCCCTTTACAGTTAAGTTATTTGTGTATATATATATATATATATATACACAGTTCAGACTGGCCACTACAACAGTAAATACAGCAGCAGACATATTGAATTTACTTTGAGGTTCGAGTTACAGGAACTGTTCAACCATCATAGCTCTCCCATAGACTGCCATACAAATTCAGAAGCTGATAGCAAACAGTAGGTCTCAGGTCTCAGCAGGTGCTACTAACGCAGTATCCGGGCAGAAATTGACAAAGCGTGTGCGTGTGGTTGTGTACAGTGGTGTAGTCTACTTTATTCTACTGGAGCTAACTGCAAACTGTAACTGCCATCCCTGAAAATCTTCCTCAAAAAAGGTCACACAAATCCCACAATTTCCAACCTTCATTGACAATTTGTTATATCAAAAATATAGACTTTTTTTTTTGTCTTGTATCACCCAGTTTTAGTCTAATTCTGATATCTTTCACGGTTTTTGAGGATGTGATGGGACTACCCTCCACCTCTCCCTTTGACTGCAATACAAATTCAGGAGCTGATTTCCAGAGAAAAGCAGAAGTGACCCTTTTTTTGTAACTCGCTGGTGTCACTCATGGCTGTTTATTTTAAACTATTGCGTATTCCTGGCTCTGTATTACAAAATATACATTGGGTTTTGAAAATACAGTAATATTTGCAAGGAAATAAGGAGTAGTTGATATTTGATGCAGTAGGTGCAGAGGAGTTAGTGAGTGGACTTAAATTTTCTGCCATTTATGCTCACACTGATCATTTAAGTGTGCTGTACTTAGTTGAAGCACCTGGTAGTGAAAATCATGCAAAGCTATACAAAATATATATTTTTAAAAAAAAATATGCATAATGATTATGGCTGTGCAAGTGTTGCAGGTTTTATTTTTGTTCAAATGTTTTGCCCATTTTTTGTTATTTTCTCATTTTCAGCCATATGGTAATATTTCTTGTAGTACAGTAACCCTTCCTTTTTATTTGTTTAGGTGCACTCTCTTCCACTTTTTCAGTTAGTACTACTCTATCAGAAGCATAAGCTTCCTAACTCATTTCTACCATCAAAGAGAGTGAAATTAGAGGTGTTGAGATATGTTAGAAAAAATGTAAAAGCTATGCAAGGAATTAATATTGGTTTGATCTCAATCACAAGCTGTGGCTAAACACTTGCTAAATGACCATCGCTCACTAATTTAGGGAAGGTGATGTGTTGGACAGTGTATAAGATTGTTATTTAGGGCTATTCAAAGATCTTGAGCAGGTTTTGTACTTGTAATAATACATCTTTATACTATTACAAACATGACAAAATATCATCAGAAGTGAAAATGTTATGTTAGCTTATTGCCTGTTCACCTGTTTATTAATCTGTGTCGCTTCTGTAAGGACGTGTACATGTGTGTATACATGTCTTGCTAGGGTTGTGGGGACACATTTGTGTTTGAAACCATCAGTGTGAGGTTATTTTGGCCAGTCGTGACAGCTCCAAAAGGCTTTTTGAAGGACACCTGCAGTGACTGAGGCCAGTGTCAAGATGAGTCTCTACGACGTGAATGAAACTGAAAGTAACGTCCTTTGTAAAGGTTGAAACGTGAAGAGTGAAGTACACGCACCAAGCAGCAGGCGCATTCAACATTATGTTGAACAAATATGTTCAAATGAGCGCAGCGCAGTCACCTGCTTCTTACAGTGTGTTTTGTCTGTATGCTAATGAGGCTGGGCGGACTCCGTGAAGGGATTGGTCGAAGCAGAGAGCAAGAGCCTCCAACTCCACGGCCGGCTTCTCCTATTGGTGCGACAATGATCCTGCGAGTCCTCGCCACAGCTGCAGCCGTTCAAGCATTCAGAGGAAAAGAGTTTAAGAAGCCGGCCCGCACATCATTAATGGCGGCTGACATGATAGGCAGCGCGCCTCTTTACCGCCTTTGTAAACGTGTGTGTAATGTGTGATTTGGTTTCAGATGCTGGTGTTGATTGTTGGGGACTGGGCTTGGTTTAAAATTCTGATTGTGCATCACACCCTTAGAAAAAGGCTGTTGGACACATTAGGAACAGGGGGTCTGCTTGAGTTTTGGGGTTGGTTAGAATCACACAGTTGGGCTCTTTGTTGGCGCCTGTTCCCCTACTTTAGTTATCCTCTCACCTTGTTTGTATTTTTGTTTCCTTATTTAGCCTCCGGGTTATGCAATAAATTTGATTTACAAATAACATCTGGTTTTATGTTGTTTCCCTTTTTTCCTAGCTGTTTCGTAACATAAAAACTGTCAACATATGGTGACTGGGAGGACAATACACCATGATTTCTTTGTATATACAAACCAACATGGCTGCAACTGAAACCTGGCTCTGTGAGCAGTCCACGATCAGTAAGTGAAATACTCGGTGAGTGAAATTTCCCGGGCTGTTATGTCTTCTTTACTTGCAGAAATCAACTGCCTGGTACTGGATGTGAGTCCCACAGCATCTGAGGTTTTTCTTTCCCAGGAAAGTGGTTCCTCAAAGGGTTTATATCTTGATGCTTCATGTGAACAGTGCAACATCTACTGGCCTGAATGCAAAATGGGCAAGTACAAATGTTTGTACATCACAAATTCAATGTAAGTATAAGGTAAGGCATGATTGTATTTTATATTCCAAGCACAGATTTATATACTGTCAAAGCAAATCAAAATGTTTTATATGCATGTCAATATCAGTTACACTCAATGTCTTAGTTTTAACTTAAGTGTTGGCAAAATACATGTAGCTTTAGTTTTAAATGTCAGCGTTGGTGGTTGTGCTGTAAAGGTTCAATATAAGATGTGGCCAGGACTTTAATTTAAAATGTTGAATCAACACTGTCAGTGTGTGAAGGAGACGCAGTGATCTACTGTGTTTCAGTTATCTACTGAAATGAGCACGGTAACCAGCCAGCCCCGACCTGTCCTGTGTTGTAATACCACTTTGTGACGCTAGACGCTGTGTGAGTCAGCGGCGCGTCAAGTCTTCCCTCAGTCCCACGAAGAAGAACAACTTCCGGCAGCGATTTAAGTTAGCATAACAGAAACGGCTGAACCTCCTAAAAGGCGATCTGTATCTTTATCCCGCAGGACCGCTCCCGACAAGAAACCACGTTCAACGCGAAGGGAAAGGGAAGGCAACACGAGTAACGTCTACTGTCTGTGGTTTTCCAACCGCTGGAGACAAGCTCCTGAGAGTCGCAAAGGAGATGCGTGTGTGTGATGCTGGTGGGGACAGCTCGGCACACCTTTCCTGTTAGCGATCCGGTGAGCTACATCAAAATTGTTGGCTTTTTAAAGCTGAACAGTATAATCAGTGCAAAAACGACTGACAAACCGGTACCGACAAAGCCATATTCAGGTGTGATTATTGATGTTGTGGTCAGCAGACGTTTTAAGGCGTTATCTAGGCACAGTTGTTCTGTTCGACTCTCGGGTTGTTGTAAACAGCTAGTTACGTGAGTAACTTAGGGCCTTTAGGGTAATATTAAAAATGTAAATTAAAAGCCCACCAATATGAACCAAAAAATAACACAAACACACACCACACACACACACACACAGCACACACAAACACAGCCACAGACAGCACTATGTCACAACACACACACACACATGTGAATCCCACCTAACGCAGACCTAACATGTTTGAATATAAAGAACCTTAGGTATGACGCTAAAGGAATTGGTGCTTATCAACATGTTGTAGTCCTGTGATCGAGGCAGAATTCCAGTCTAATGCGTCACCAATGAGTGGACCAGCACCCTGCTTCCTTCGTGCATCTGGCCTCATCAACTCAACACCACATGAACATCAACACCGATTGGAGGTAATTATCGCTGCACCATAACAGATATTGTCATAAAAGATTCTCTGCATACATCCCCCTCCTGATCCAATACCTGATGTTGCCAACAGCTGCTCAGCAGGAGTTTTGGGTCATTCTGACGAACACCTTGTTTGTGGTAGATGGTTTTGTGAATAGTATCTCCGTCTTCCCATTGGTTTTGTTTTTTGTAAGTCTATTTATATTTTAAGTATTGCAGTATGAACTTTAAATGTAATGATACTTTGACAATATTTAACAAGCAAATATCTGAACCTAAACTCTTTGCCTGAGTCTGCTTTTGTGATGTACCTCAATCCCTTCGCCTCATGCTATATACGCGCTGCCCCATGGGTGTCCTGCAGTATGCCCTTCGCCGTATCATAAATCTGCAAGTGTATGGAGGTTACAAGTAAACTTCAGATCCTATTTTTACACCTGAATTTAAATTCTACTTGTTACCTCAGTGTCACACACTTTTGAATTTTGAGCACCAAATTTTAGTTTTGTGCTTTGCATGTTCAGACATTGACAGAAGCTCTAACTCTTCCAGTGTCTTTGTGTTGCCTCAACACTGTATGTGTGTGTGTGTGTATTTTTTTATATATATAATTTATTAATCTCCTACAAATTCTTCACAAAATGTATCATTTATTCATTAAGTCTTGTTTTTATTACAGTACATGCTAAATAAGGTTTAAATGGATGATTGATATTTTATGTTCTGAAGTCGTTTTTTGAATGCTTACATGTTCTTATTTTTCCTTTTTGTGTTTTCATAAGGATGGCAGAACCCACCTCAGGCTGGGACCACACCTTTGCAGTCCCTCGAAAGCAAGAAATGGTAAGTCATGCACATGATGATATAAACTAAAATGTTAAAATTAATCTTAAGATTTATTTTTCTTTGTCATCATAATTGCTAATGCATCAGAAAACAATGTAGATGTGATTAATATATTTATATGTGGCTTGAATATTATACTTAAAATACTTGTTGGGAAACT